GCGGGGGACCTTGGGGGCTCAGCACCGGGCTTCGGAGAGACAGGGCCGCTGTGGGTGTCATCTCTCCGGTAGCCCCCCTGGGGGATGCTGCTGCAAGGGGAGAGACAGAGGAGCACGGTTCAGAGCCCACCCTCACCGCCTGGCTGCATCCCTGCTCCCAGCCCGCACCACGGTGCCCAATGGGGCACGGCAAGGGGGGCAGGGAGCCAGGGCAGCCCCAGGACCAGGGAGCCTCAAGGGGTCCCGGCAAGTGAATCCAGCCACCTGGAGACCACCAGGAGCCAGCTGGGTTGGATGAGAGCCCTGGGCTGCTGTGACACAGCGGTGTCCCCTTGCCCAGGGGTACCCCATGATGCTGGGATACCCAGCGAGTCCCCTCCCCAGGGCCGCCATGCAGACAGGACCGAGGGCCAGGGAGTGCCCCAGTTTGCCAGGGTGTCCTGGCGTGCTGGGGCAGCGTGGCACAGGCGAGCTCTTCCGCCAGGCGGAGGGGGTCCCCGAGGATACAAGCCCCCCTCCCCACACATGCTGCTGCAGGCACGTCCCCCCACCCCACTGCCCCCAGGGGGGCTCGGCGTTCGTGGTGCAGAAATCATAAGGTGGAGATGAGGTTCTGGTGGAAAAAGCAGCCTCGAACAAAAAAAGGGGTGGGATGGAGGCTGAAGGAGCAGGCCTGAGGGGATGGGCATCGCAGGTGGCAGGGAGGAACGGGGGCTCTGAGCAAGTCAGCAGGTCCTGGGGAGGCAGCATGTCCCTGGCCCCTGCTGCCACCCCTGTGCGGTGGGGACTGCAGGTGGCAGTGCCTTGCCAGCGGGTGTCCCAGGCTGTACTGAACCCCCAGGTCCCCACCCCCCGGGCCACGCAGAGCCCCTGGGGCTGGGTGGGATGGGGGAACACCCACGGCACAGCCTGCGGGTGGGATGCTGCAGCTCGTGCAGCGGTGCAGGGGTTACCCCCAGCCCCAACCTGGCCACAGCAGAAAGGGACCCCACTCCACATGTCCCCCCCTTACCCAAGGGCCTGTACCCCCCTGGCCCAGGTTGCTCCCACCTCCTCACCGGGAATAGGCTGCCTACTGCTCAGAGCGCCCATTCCTCATCCGGGCATGGCGAAGGCAAAGAAAGCCCAGGCGGAGGGGAGAAGATGGCTGCGGGGGTTGGAAGGAGATGGCCCCAGCGAGATGTCCCCTCCGCACGCTTCCCCCTGCTACTTACACGTGGAGCGAGAGCGCCCGTCCTCGGTACAGGCTGAAGGCGCTGCCATAGGGGTCGCTGGCCACTGAAAGGCTATCCTCCGACCCCCAGCTCGTGCCCACCAGATTAGCCCGTGATGCCCGCACCAGTGGCTCCACGCCCAGGTGCCGGACCTCGGCGCCGCGCGGAGTCGGCGCGTTTGCTTGCCTTGGGGTTCCCTGCGGCTGCTGCCAGGCAGCAGGACGAAGGTAGGGTCCCCGTGCGGGGAGGCTGGCGTCCGTCTCCTTCTCCACCACGGTCTGCTGGCTGCCTGACCAGCTGGAGCGCTCCTCTGCCTGCGACAGGGCCAGCACCGAGGTCGGCGTTGTGTTCATGGAGGCGTCCACGAGAGTGTCAGACCCACCTGGAAGGAGAGGGGTGAGCCGACACCAGGTGCCCACAGGGACAAGCCCAGCACCCTACTCGAAGAGGGCTGAGCTGCCATGGGGTGTCCCAAGCAGGCTGCCCCGAGCCCTCTCCCCTTTGCATGGGTGGACCACAGTCCCCCCCTCCCATGGAGACCCCCAAAGCTGGGCCAGCAGAGCCCTTGTGGGGGGGCTGTGCGCGGCAGTTGGTGCCGAGGCTCGGTGCCAGCCGGGTGCCCCCTGCTCACCCGTGGGGGTGCTGAAGGCCGTCTCATCCTGGAGCTCGCTGCGCTGCGTCACCTGGGGATCGCTGGGCTCATCCTCGCCCGTCTCCGAGTCTGGGGAGGGGTGGGGGGAGAACAGGGGGTGAGGGGACACGGGGACAGCAGGCCAGGCTGGCACTGCCCCTTGCAGACCCACCGGCTCCAGAGGCAGGAGAGCAGTGCCCAGGCAGCTCCGGGAGGAGGCAGCGCCGGGGCGGGGGGCATGACCGTGACCTGCAGGGATAAGCTGCCAGCAGGGAAAGGCAGGACCAGGGGTGGGAAAGTCCATCAGGGCAAGGGCAGGCAGGGGAAGGCAGGCAAAGCGGGCAGGAGCGCTGTTAGATGATGGGAGGAAGACGGTGCCGGCAGTGGGAATGCGGCTGGCGGAGGTGGTGTGGGGACAGGGAGGCAGGGCAGGGGGATGATGGCAGCGATGGGGCAGGGTGGCAGGCTGGGGCACAGGGCCCGCTCTAGGGATGGGGCTGGCATCGGGCGGGGGTCTTCCTACCGTAGCTTTGTTTCCTGCAGGAGCGGAAAACTTCGCTTCCATAGGGGCAGCAAGAGAGAGAGAGACATCAACACCCGGTTATCGGCCCGGCCTGCGGAGACGCGGGGGACAGCAGGGAGGCACCTTGTCCCCAGCATCTCCCCGCGCTGCCATGGGGCAGGGACCTGCCAGGGCAGCGCCTGGGTGGGCTGTCCCGGCTCGGAGAGCCTGGCACCCTGTGACGGGCTTCGGGTCCGAGGATGGGGCCAGGACTGGGCGTTTGCCCATCTCAGGATCCCACGAGGGGCACACCATGCCCTGCCCGGCCCCATGGCAGGTGCCAGGTGCCCATGGGGCATGGAAACATGTCTGGCTCCCCCAGACTTCCCCACCGCCTCTCCACTCTGCCCCCATGTTCACCGCACGCCGCTCTGGCACTGCACACAGACCCTCCTTGCACACAGACTGTCCTGCCTGCACAGTGCACAGCACCATCCCCTCCACGTGCCACGGCCACATCCTGCTTGCAGGACAGTCACCTCCTGTCCCCGGAGCTGCTCCATGGGCTGGCCTCACCGCCGCAGCACCTGCACATCCCCGTGCTCTGCGGGGCACTGCAGCTTGAGGCCAGACCCCCCAGCCTGTGCCCCAGCTGGGTGCTCCTGGAGGTGCTGGGGCACGCGGACATGTGTGTCCATGTGCAAGCACCCTCCCTCTGGCACATACACGTGCATCTCCTACCCCACCGGTGGCAAGTGCTGCGCGATACAGCCATGCCCCAGAGCACAGCCCCAGTTGATAAAGCAGGGATGCTCGGGGTAGAGCATCAGTGAGAGCCCCCCCACGGGCAGGACGCAGGCAGGCCAGATCAGTGCCACCCTAACACCTAACACCCAGGAAAGCCGAAGTCATGCAGCCAGGGAGGGCCAACCTTTCCTTCCCACCACTGCTCAAGCCCTCGCAAGCTGCCGCAACAGACCCCTGTGGCAAGGAACACGTCCCCTGCCCCACCACTGCTCCCCTCCGCTGCACTGCCACAGGGTGATGGGGGGCCATGCTGCCCCCCCCTACTCCAAGCCACCCCTCCGCAGCCCGGCACACTGCCAGCTGCCCCATGCACTCCACCATACCAGGCTCCCCAGCCCGGCCATGACAGCCTGGCAGTCCCCAAGGAACCAGAGCTGCGGGGCCAGGAGGAGCCTGGCCTCGTGGGGGACACCGGGAGTCCCTGGCTGACCGGGACCCTGTTTTGGGGCTGGCAAGCTGCAGCCCATCCCTGCCCAGCCTCTGCTCGCTGCCCCCCTGGGCATGGCGGTGGGGCTGGACCCCATCCCAGCGCGCTCAGGGCGGCGGGGGGAGCCGGGTCCTGGTAACTCAACGCACCATGCGTGAAGCGCCCGAAGCGCCGCGAGTGGCCGGTCTTCTGCAAAGGAAAAGAGAAGAGAGCGTTACCCACGGCACGGTGCCACGCGCCTGCTCACGCGTGCACGCACGCTGCTGGCACAGCATACCCGCGCCCATCCATCCCATCAGGGCACCGCTCACACCCACAATTGCTCACACACCGGCACAGCACGCGTGGTGCCGCTCACACCCTCCTGCTGGCAGGGCACACCCAGCACCGCTCACACACATACCCCCGGCTGCACGCCCACGGGGTACCCACAGGCACACGCCCCCGGGGTACCCACCGGCACACACTCCCAGGCACACACCCCCGCGCTCACAGCCGTGGATGGGTGTAGGTGGACACGTGTAGCACATGCCCAGCCGTGCACACACACACTCACATGCACACATATCCCTTGGTGATGGCACTGTGCACCCCAGCCCTGCGCCACTGCCCGTGCCCAGTGGGTGATACCATGCACCCCAGCCCTATGCTGCTGCCCGTGCCCGGGGAGCAACAGCCCTGGGCAGCACAACTGCCCCGGCACTGCTGCCTGCAGCCAGCACCGCCTGCAGCAAGGTCTTTGCCTGGGCGGGTGCCCAAATGCTCCGCAGCCCCTTCGAAGCCACCTCCCGCGCCAGCATGGGGACCGGGCCAGCAAAGCATCTTCCAGGCACTGGCCCAGACACCGCCACGGGCACCGGCCCAGCACGGGGACAGCATCCCCCATCCCCGGCGGAGGCCATGCCAGCTGCGAGAGAGGCTGCCTGGCACAAGCAGCATGGGACCAGCCCGTCTGCGTGGGGCTGGAGGCGTGGGAGCCACGCTCACCCACACTGTCTGGGCAGGCAGGCAGGACCTGAGCACGGGGTGGAGGCGCTGGGAGCTCGCTGCCAGCTCGGCTGCCCTCTGCGCCGCAGCCCAGGGCCAGGCACCCACTTGCCAAGGGAGGGACCAGCCGAGGGCGAGCCGGCTGCCAGGCCTGGCGTGCGTCGCCGCCATCTCCCAGGGAAGCTGAGGGATGGGGTGATCTCCAAGGCAGGCAGGAGCGGGGATGCAGGGTGCAGACAGGCAGGGTTGGGCTGCCAGGACTGAGCATCCTTCCCAGCCAGTCTGGGTGACGGGGTCTCCCCAGGACATTGACACCCCATGCCCTGTCTCCCCAGCGTGGAGCCCAGGGCTGGACAACCCAGCTTTCTTGAAGCCCTTCACTCTGCCAGGCCCTCCTGCCTCCCCACAGCTCCCAGGCAGGGTCACAGACAGACGGCCCCCAGGGACAGCCAGCCCTGGGGACAGCCAACCCCGGGGACAGCCAGCCAGGCATGGCCAGCAGTTAGTTGCCCTTGGAAGGGCAGCAGGCTTATTTCACACACCTCAAAACCGCCGCCCACTCAGAAAAAAAAGAAGGGCCCGCGGGTTTTTTCCCCCCCCCCAAAGCCCCCTGCCCCTGCAGCGGCAGCCCCTGCTTGTGGGCAGCACTCGGGGTCTCCCGTGTGCCCCCTGCCTGCATGCAGTGCTGGCCAGAGGGCAGCGGCTGCACGAGACACATTTGTATTCAGGCTGAGCCAGGCTTCACCTCCCCTCCTCGGCTGACTGTGCTCGTTCTGGCTGGCAGCCCGTCTTCCAGGCCAGGGAAAGATAGATGAGTGATTAACTGCACCATCGGCGGATAATTCCCCCATTAAAAAATGAAAATGCAATTGAGTGCCATTATCGGGTGCTCTTGTGGCTTCCCCAGGGACTGGCGCCATCAGCTCCCCATCAAATATGGTGGCAGCACCCAGTGGGCCTGGGCTGGGCTCCATCGCCCAGAGCTATGGGGTGGCTGAGCCCCCTCCCCTCTGCCCTGCAACAGGTCCCCGTGGGATTGGGGCACCCTGCAGCCCAGACCCACCTCGGGCGCAGCACCCCCCCACTGCTCGGCAGCGAGCAAGTGATGCAGGGTCCCCCCCGAGCAAGAAGGTGGAAAGGGGGCAGGAGCACCTTGGGGCTCACTGCGGGGCTAGGGCCTGGGCGAAGGGGCCAGCCGGAGAGCAGGGTTTGTGCTCCCTGCCTGGGATTTCATTTGCACCCTGGGAAAAGGAGTGGGGGAGTGCCAGGAGCCTGCTCTGTGCCCACCCAGCCCAGGGTGGGGAGAAGGGCTGGCTGGGATCAGCGCCATGGGGCAGCCGGGTGAGAGCTGGCGCTGCCTCCTTTCCCCGTGCCAGGCACAGATCCACCCTGCCTGGGCCAGGGTCCTGCACTGGCCCTGGGCCTGGCACGGGGCATCCCTAGCCATGGCCATGGGGCCAAGGGGAGTCAGGGGGTAGAAGGGGCTCCTGGGGCCGCAGAGCACAGCCCGTGCTGCCTGCCACCGCCTGGCACGTGGAGCCCAGCACCACATGGCTCTGGTGCCACTGGTGCAAAGACAGGCAGACAGGGAGCAGGGACAGGCTGAGGTGGGGAGGCAGTGGGTGGCTTGCCTGGTGTGGAAGGACAGAGGCTGTGGGTGTCCCCATACCCCCATGCTCAGCCAGTGGAGCAGGACCCTGCCCCACCACACGGGCAAGCCCCTGGGCTTGCTGCCCCCAAGGGCAGATGGGGCAGCCAGGCAGCACCACCCACCCTGCCCCAGAGGGACCCCCCCGCCTGGCTCCCAGCCTCCCTGGGGACCTGTGTCCCCCGGCATATCCCACACCCCTGGGAAGGGGCTGTGGGTGACAGCCCCTCCCCAGCCCCTGCTGGGCCACCAGGCAGGGTGACAGCAGCGAGACTACGTGCCCGCGCTGGGTGGAGCAACGGGGTGGGCTTGTGCACCCCGGGGGAGCCAGGGGCAGGGGGCTTCCTGGAAGGATGCCCCCCATCCTCCACTCCCCGCCGAGGCCAAGTGACGTCCTTGTTCCTTGCTCGGCAGCGGAGCGTGCGGCGGGGCCCGCGGAGGAGCTGTGCCTGTGCCAGCCATGCTCCTGACGCGGAGGGGATGACGCAGGCAAAGCCTTGTCTCCAGCTCTGTGACCACCGGCAGCGGGGCTGGGGGGGGGCGAAGCAGCCTCCATTTGCTGCCCCGGCTCCAGAGGGCAGAGGGAGGAGGCTGTGGCATGGGGGGAAGCCCCCGGCGGGGGTCCCAGCCCTGCTGCTGGCACAGGCGGTGCTGAGCACCTGCCCTCTGCCCCTCCTGCCCGGGCTGGCGAGGACAGGCAGGCAGCTGGCGGCTCTGCG